CCCAGCCTCCTGAGTCGCTGGGATTACAGGCACGGGCCACCATGCCCAGCTAATTTTTTGTATTTTTAGTAGAGACGGGGTTTCACCATGTTGACCAGGATGGTCTCGATCTCTTGACCTGGTGATCCACCCGCCTCGGCCTCCCACAGTGCTGGGATTACAGGCTTGAGCCACTGCACCCGGCCAGTAAATTGTATTCTTAATGGACGGAAAAAAAAAGATAAATTTTTAAAATGTATTTCTAAAATACCTTATTTTTAATAAGCCCCTCAATAGGACCTTATTTGCAGTTGAATCTAACTTTGTAAAAGTTTTCCGTTTTTTTTTTTTTTTTTTTTTCTCGTTTTTTTTTTTTTTTTTTTTTTTTTAATTTTTTTTTTTTTTTTTTTTTGAGACAAAGTCTCGCTCTGTCCACAGGCGCTAGGCTGTATGTAGTACAGTGGTGCGAACTTGGCTCACTGCAACCCTTGCCTCCCAGATTCAAGCAGTTCTCCTGCCTCAGCCTCCCGAGTAGCTGGGACTACAGGCACGCGCCACCATACCCAGCTGATTTTTGTATTTTAGTAAAGACACGGTTTCACCATGTTGGCCAGGATGGTCTCCATCTCCTGACCTCATGATCCGCCTGCCTTGGCCTCCCAAAGTGCTGGGATTACAGGTGTGAGACGCTACGCCCAGCCAAGTTTCTTGTTTTGAAAGAGTTCTTCTATATGTCTGTTCAGTGCACATTAGAAGTCAGTCGATAAATTATAGTTAAATGAACTTTAAAAATCAGGATAATCAACTCTTAGAAACATAAAATTTTAGAACTGGATGGGATCTTAGAGCTTACTTACTGATAATTTAAGGAACTGGAAATTGAAGTTCAGAGAAGTTAACGATTTGACTGTTTCATTGAATCTAGGCAGATCTCATGTTCTTTTATTTTGTTTTGAGAGGGTCTCACTCTGTCACCCAGGCTGGAGTACAGTAATGTAATTACAGCCCACTGCAGCCTTGAACTCCTGGGCTCAAGTGATCCTCTCACTTCAGCCCTCTGATTAAGTGGCTAGGACTACAGGCATGAGGCATCACACCTGGCTAAATTTTTTTAGTGTTTGTAGAGATACAATCTTGCCTTGTTGCCTAAGCTGGTCATGAACTCCTTGACTCAACTGATCTTCCTGCCTTAGCCTCCAAAAGCACAAGGATTACAGCCATGAACCACTGCATCTAGCTCCCATGTTCTTTCTCTGCTACATTTATTAGACATTCGTGAATTTTCAACATTAGCCAGTAATACTGAAATAGAGCGTTTTAGTCTTCTAAAAGTGTAAAAGTCTTGCAATATTTTTCAAAGACAGTATAGAGAAAAGTATATTTAGAATCTCAAACTAAGCCCGGAAAAGTTTTGATTATATCAGTTAGATGACTAGCATTTGTTTTTTTCTTTTTGTGGGTTGCCCAGTCTAGTCCTGAACTCTTGGGCTCAGGCAATCCTCCTGCCTTGGCCTTGTGTACAGATTTTTGTGGGATATAAGTTTTCAGCTCCATTGGGTAAATATGTAGTAGTGCATTTTCTAGGGTGTATGCTAAGCCTATGTTTAGCTTTGTAAGAAACTGCTGAACTATCTCCTTAAGTGGCTATACCATTTTCCATTCCCAGCAACAACAAATGAGAGTTCCTGCTGTTCTGCATCCTTGTCAGCATTTGATATTGTCAGTTGTTTTATTTTAGCTATTCTAATAGGTGTTTGTGATAACCAAATTTTTATTTCATTTGCAGTTCCCCAATGACGTGATGTTAAGCATGTTTTCATATGTTTAGTTGCCATCTGTATTTTCTTTGTTGAAGTGTATCTTTTGACCATTTTTTTCCTCTTTTTCTTTTTTTTTTAGTTATACTTTGAGTTCTGGGGTACATGGGCAGATCGTGCAGGATAGCTTCATAGGTATACACAAGCCATGGTGGTTTTCTGCATCCATCCCCCATCACCTACATTAGGTACTTGTCCTAATGTTATCCCTTCCCAATCCCCTCACTGCCTGCTGTCCCTCCCCTACCCCTTCTACACCCTAACAGGCCCCAGTGTGTGATGTTCCCTTCCCTCTGTCCATGTGTTCTCATTGTTCAACACCCACTTATGAGT